CCTCTCCACAGTCCCGGCCCCGCCCCCTCCCGGGAAGGCCCCGCCCCTCCAGAGGAGTAGATCCACCTCTCCACAGTCCCGGCCCCGCCCCCACCCGGGAAGGCCCCGCCCCTCCCCGGGGGCCCTGGCCTCCCTCCAGCGCCCGGTGCGGGCCCACCCTGCCTTGCCGCGCGCCCACCTTGCAGGTGTAGACCAGCTGGTAATGCGCCGCCTCCACGCGACCCAACGCGGTCCCCGGCCCTGGGCCCGGTTCAGAGCTTAAGCGCCGCCAGCTCCAGGCCTGCCGTCCCCCCGCGGCCTCCAGGCGGGCCCTGCACGCCCACAGCTGCCTCAGGCCGGGGTCCCGGGGCCGCTCGCGGCTCAGCAGCTCCAGCACACGGCGCAGAGCTGCCCGCAGCATCCCGCCAGCCGCTCCACTCGCCCCACCCCGGTCCCGCCCCGCGCCGCCGAGGCCGCGCCGCCACCATCTTGGAAGCGGGCACAGGACGGAAGCGGCTTTCCGCGACTTCCGGCTGCCAGGCGCGGGGCGGTCGGCTCTGCTGCCCCTGGCGGGCGGGCGCGCCCTGCGCACGTGTGCGCCCAGGGCAGGAGCCGCGTTTCCTCCCTTAGAATGGGGGTCACCCCGCCCATCCTACTACAGGGAGAGTTCACCGGGGTGACGCGCGGAGGGCTGGGGCCAGTGAGTCCCGACAAGCTCCCGGCAGAGCGGGTACAGCCTGGCCGGGCGCGTGGGGAGCGTGAAAAGACGCGTCTCTGATGGGCGGGGACATCCGCAAGTCGGTTTTTACTTTTTATTTAGCTGCACTTTCTAATTTTTTTTACAATGAATGTGTGTTATATAATAAAAATAGAAAAAGCCTTTAAAAATCACACAGATACACGTGCACCGACACGGAAACAGTCATTCATATCCGAAAGCACAGCTCTCGGCGGGGCTTTCAGGGGATCACCGCGCTTCCTATGGCCAAGTCAGCGGTGACTGGCGGAGAAACCTGCGGCCAGAGGGCCGGCTGTCCACGGCCGCGCACTCCGCCAAGCGCTGAGGCCCAGGCCTCTCTGCGGCCGCCTGGGGTTCCTCCTCCGAGGACCGGGCTAGCCATGCCCGCCGTGGTGACGGTCGGGAAGTGGGGCGGCCACGTGATGGTGTGACCTGCCACATGGGCGGCCGGCCTGGCGGGCTAGGAGCCCTCTGTGTCCGTGTTGTCACTGCCGGTGGTGTTCTCCCAGTCCACCTCCCCCTGCCGAGTGCCGTTCTGCATCTTGCGGAGGGCCCGCTTCCTGTGGGGACGCACACGTTGCAGGTGTCTGCCGGGGGGGCTGTGTCCCTGCTGCCAAGGCACGGTGACCTGGGTGCCCCCTGCCCCCGCCGCTGCCCCGACCCCACACCTACACACCTGCGGTAGTTCTCGAAGCTCTCCTTGAGCCGCCGACGCTCCTTCTCAGGGGGCTCCCCGCCACTCAGGCCTGTGTCCTGTAGAAGGGGAGGCTCAGGCTAGTGGGAATCCAGGGCGCCAGCGCCCTCAGCTCAGCAGCAGAGGAGCTCCTGGCTGGCCCTGAGTGCCCGGTGCCCATGAGTTAGCCTGCTGGTCTCCCGCCATCGGGATGACAGGCAGAGGCCAGGAGGCCCATTCGGGCTGGGTCAGGGCAGGGCACTGGCGGGCTCCAGGCCAGTCCCCTCTGCAATGACGAGAAGCCTGTATGCAGGACTCAGCGTGGAGGACAGCGAGGCCGGTTGCCCACTAGGGCTAGTGCTGTGCTCCCTGCAGAGGCCCCCAAGCAGCCAGCCCCTGCCTGGGGCCACCTACCTCCACCCCAACCCCTCTACCTGCGGCTTTGTCCCAGCAGGCGGGGCTCACTCTGGTCAACCAGTCCATCCCCCCGGGCAGTGAGCAGAGACCCTGTGGTCACCCCCACCCTGACCTGTTCAGGGGTCACTGGGGGCACAGATCGAGGAATCGCCCTCCCGTGATCACAGTCATATGGAGAGAGACCCCCACAGAAGCAGAGAGACCCCTGCGCCTGGGAGTGAGGCCTGAGCCCTGGCAGGGACTGTGGGCGTCAGGGACCCTGGGCAGACTTACGTTGGGGGTCAGTGAAAGCTGCTCCTTCTGCAGAGCCCTGAAGGGCTGCTCTAGGCTCTGCCCCTCGGCCCGGCCACCTGGAAGCAGAGTTGTGCCTGTCAGCCCTGCCCACGGCCGAGACCCCAAGCCATCCAGGCCCCCCACCACCTCACCCTGGATTCTGGGGCCAGTCTCACAAGAGCTCCTGGGGTCCTCCCATCAGTAAGCGAGCCAATGAGGAATGCCAAGGACAAGGAAACCAAGACCCTCTCCTTGCTCCTGGAGGCGGCCCTCCGGCCAGGGCAGGGGCTACTGGGCGCAGGTGACCCCAGCCCGTTCCTCCTCCTGACCAGCCCGTTTGCCCACTTCTGCCCAGCTCCTCCTGGGGGTGCCTCCCACCCCGCCCCCATGTGGTACTCTGCAACCTCAAGTTCCCGTCTTCCGGGCAGCAGCAGACAGCCGGCCGATCCCCCACTTCTCCATTTGGCTGCCAGTTCTTCCCCTTCCCGCCTTAGGAGTAGGGGTCAAGTCTGACGCTGAGGAAGTCTGTCTGACTTCCCACGAAAGCTCCCAGGCGGCCCCACTTCCCCCCTCAGCTGGGGCCCCAGCAGAGTACAGGGGTCTTCCTGGACACCCCTGGACCCCCACCTGCCAGCTCCTCCTGCCAAGCAGGTCCCCTCCCAGCCCGTCACCACCCCAGCCATCACTCTGGTCATAGGTACGCGATTGCTGCTTCACTTGCCCCCCAGTCCTGTCCCCCGGGACAAGCGTGGACTCTGTACTATGACCCTTATCCTCAGGCACCCGTGGCCAGCCCCCAGCACAGCTAGCCGACTGCAGGCCTCCTCCTGCTCGGGGTCCTCACTTCCCACCCCACCTCCCACTGGGGGACCGCTGAGAACACTCGTCTGTGGACTTCGAGCCCTGGGCCCGAAGGAACCCCCACACTGGGGACTCCACACACTGCTGACAGGCGCCTGACCCGCTGACCACCGGGACGCCAGCTGTGCCTGGGTTTGAGGTGGGCCCTTGGGGGCTAGCTGGCGACTCGAGTAGAGTGCCTCCTCCAGGCCTCAGCTTCCTCCTCTCTACGGTGAGGCTGGGGGTACCCGCGGCACCCGGCCAGGGCCGCGTCTCCAGCCGTGCTCAGGCATCGGGGACGGACACCAGCTCCCAGTGCTGCACTTCAGGGCGACGAAGGGTCTCAACCCCGAGTCCCCAAGACCAGGCCTGAGGCTGGGCCCTCCTGCCGTGCGTGGCGGGCACCTACGCTCACCTCCTCACCTTTGTCCAAGAGCTGGGTGTCCTCCTCTAGGCCCCGGGGCAGTGAGAGCTGCCAAAGAGAGAGGGGTCACTGGTCACCCCCTTCCCGTGTTCCAGCACTCAGAGAGTCCCTAGGACCTGTACCTCGCAGCCCACTGGGAGGGGCTGGGGCAGCGCTATTCATGCTGGCCCCTGCCCGAGCACGCGGGGGCCTCGGGGCTGCTTGCTCCTCTGCCGGCCCGGCCGGTGAGGGGAGGAGGAGCGGCTACCCACAGAACGCCTCGGCCAGCTCCTGGGGCAGGCAGGGTGCCGGGCCTGGCTGTGAGGGATGGGAGGGGGCAGCGGTCTGGTGGGAGGGTACCGGCTGTGAGCCCGGGGCGGGGGGAGGGGGGCAGCCCTGCACCCAGCCGGTGGCCTGCTCACCTCCCGGGAGCTCCTGGGAGAACTGTCCTCCAGGTCGGAGCTCTGTGGGCAAAGGGGGCTCAGTCAGCAGGAGTAGGCCATCGTGTCCCCGTCCCCAGAAAGCATGGGGGACCCAGGCCAGCCCCTGCTACCCTGGGCCCCTCTCCACATAGTGTTCCTGCCCAGAACGCCCCCCCACCAGAGCAGCCTGTGGGGCCCGATGGGTGGTCGTCACCTTGGTTATAGCCCCTACCCAAGTCCCCACTTCCTGTGCAGGCCCTGAGCTATGTCCACGCCCCTCGCCCCACTGTGAGGAGGGGGCTCAATCAGGGTGACCCGATCCCACGGAGGAGGACGCCGGGCCTTATGGAGCAGTGGCCAGGCCAGGCTCGGGGTGGTCTGGCTCCTTCCTGGCCCTGGGTTCTCTGGGCCACACCACCTGGGTCCCACCTGTGGCCTGGTCCCTGTGCCCCCAGCCCCCGAGGCTGGCCCCAGGCCCACCAGGACAAGTGTCTCCAGCTGCTGTCGCTTGAGCCGGCCCTCGGCGGCCAGCAGCTGGCCCTCACGCTGGAACAGCTGCAGCTGGAGCTCGTCTGCCCTCTCGCCCAACTCGCGGACGCGCTTCCGCAGCCCATCCTTCTCCTGCAGGCACCGTGCCTGCTGTGCGTGCAGCTCCTCCCGCATCGCGATGGCCTGCGGGGCGGGGACAGGCCAGGTGGGCCGGGGCATGGAGAAGGAAGGGCATCCCAGCCCCGAGGCTGCCCGCCCCGCTGCGCAGCCTCAACCAGCTTCTAGCAAAGTCCCCACAAACCTTCCAGCAGTGAGGACCGGAGCAGGGGGGCCCCATGGGGACGCATTTCCTCTTTGGTCAGTGTTGGGGGCACAAAGCAGTGGGGCTCACAACGGGAAGTGTGGAGGAGGAGACCGTCCAGCCTCGGGGCGATCCTGCTGACCCTCCCCACTCGTCCATCCCTGCCAGCATCCCCGCCAGCGCTCGGCTTCGGCACAGGTTACCCTGCCCGCCCCCCATGTGTGTAGATTTCGGTGTGGGTTTTGCATGAAGGCCGCAGTGGTCAACAGCTGTACAGCATTCTTCAAAATGAGCCCAGCGTACTTCATCACCCCCACTCCCTTTGGGAGCCCTGAGGTGGCCCCGTTGTCACCATTGTACGGAATCTTGTAATGAACAGCCACATATGCCTTTCTCTGCATTACTGGCTATTTCCACAAGAAAGACTCGTAGACCTGGAATTGCTGGGTTCAAAGGAATCGAAATTTTAAGGCTCTTGGTACATGTTGTCAAAGTAACCTCGAGAATTTCGCTGAAGTGTCAACGGTCACTGGACAGGATGAGAAACAGCCTCCATGACCGTGACCGGCACTGGGGAGAGTGAAGCATGGTTTCGCCACGCCGTGGGATGCTGGCCCGCGTTCACGAGAACGCGTCCGGGACTTGTCAAGTTAAACAACTGCCTACAAAACAAGGCAGACAGACCGACGTGCACAGCCGGAGCACGGACAGTGGTTTCCGGGGAGCAGGCAGGCTGGGCGGTGGGACGGGGGTTGACTTCTATTTGCACCCTTAGTGATTATTTACATTTTCTCCTTGAGCATGTGTTATGGGTTCAACTGGGTCCCCTAAAAAGACACGATGAAGTCCTATGAACGTGAGCTTGTTTGGAAAGAGGGTCTTTGCAAACGTGATCAGTTAACGCAAGGTCACACTGGGGCAGGGTGGGTCCTGATGGTAGGCGAGTAGGATAATCCTCATACAAGAGGAGATACGCTAAGACAGACACAGGGAGAAGACCACATGCAGACGGAGGCAGAGACGGAGCCACGCTGCCACAAGCCAAGAACACCAGGAAGGCCAGGAACCACAGGAACCGCCAGAAGCGGGAAGAGCAAGGGAGGACCCTCCCCCAGAGCCTGTGAGGGAGTGCAGCCCTGCCAACACCCTGAATCCAGACCTGGGCCTCAGCGCTATGAGGATAAACCTCCGCTGTGTAAGTCCCCAGGTGTGGCGCTTCGTCACGGCCGCCCCGGCACACTCATGCAGCATCACTGTGTCTCTAGAGGCATGTGGACAGCCGTCCTCGGAGCCTGAAGGCCTGGCCCTGCGTCCTCGCCCATCCGGTAGGCCGTGCTCATGCATGCTTACCAGAGTGAAGTGCCTACCTGATCCCTCTCGATGGCCACCTCTTCCATCTGCTGCAGAACGGCCTCGATGCGGTCCTTGTACATCTTGGAGTCCTTGCGCAGGGCCAGGCACTGCAGCTCGAACATCTCCTTCTCCTCCACGCACTGTGGGGCGCACAACTCAGCATCCGCCTCTGCCCAAACGCAGGCGCCGGGTGCACTTGGGGTGCTGGAGGAAGTGAGGTGGGGGAGGTGGGGGAGGGACTGCGTGGGCCGGGTTCCTGTCAGCTCCTGGCCATGGCTGGGGTTCTGCCCTGGGCACTGTGAGCCCAGGCCTGGGCCTCGGTTGTTCTGGGGGAGTGGGGACAGGAGGGCCGGGCCCTGCGCCTCCAGGAAGACGTGAAGCGAGGCTTCCAGCAGAGCAACTCCCCTCCCTTCTGGGCACCCTGGTCCTCCAGCCTCACTCCCTGCACCCCGCAGATCCGTGGCCTCCCCGGGTGCACACCCGGGTCCGCTGGGCCTCGGCCTGGCGCAGATCCTTGCGCAGAGAGAAGATGGTGCTAGCCTGCTCCTGCTGGTGGCGCAGCGCCTGCCGCCAGTCCTCCTCCAGCAGCTGGATGTAGGCCCCGCTCCGGTCCCACCCCTGGTCCTGCGCGGAGAAGGAGGGCAGCGTGGTGGCACCTGTCCTGCGGCCGGCGGCCTGTCCTGCCCAGGCGGTGCCCCCTTGGCTCTTGGCACGCACAGGACCTCTCCGCCCGCACAGGGCCCCTCCGCCCTTCCCGGCGCCCCACCTGGGCGGAGGCCTCCAGCTCCTGCACGCGCGCCTGCAGCAGCGCCTTCTCCTGCTGCAGTTCCCACAGCAGCTCCTGGCTGGGCCGCTGCTCCATGGCGTGTCGCAGCTTCAGCGTGTGCTTGCGCTCCACCGTGCAGTCGTCCTCCGCCTTCATGAGGCTGTGCTTGAGCCGGTCCACCTGCGGGCGGCCGTTCTCAGCCACCGCCCGCCAGCCCAGGCCGCCGAATCCCCAGCTGGGACCGCCCCCCCCAGCCTGGAGCGCGCCCCCACCCCGTTCCCCTTCCCC